GGGCCGCTGGGGCCGGCTCCGTTGGGTCTTGGCGCGTAGCCTGCCGGGCAGCCTCTACCCGCTCCATTTGTGCCTGTATGGCGGTGACAGTACCACGCTAGCTCTTTGTGAGCTTTTACACGGGCCGATTTTAGTCTTCACCTTCCTCCACTCCCCCTCCGCCACCCCACTCTGGCCTCCCTGCCCCCTGGGCCGCAGGCCGGGTGGGGCTTGGCAGGGGCCTCCCGGGACGTTTTGCAAATGGAACTCTGCCGCGTGGGCCTGTGCTTGGTGTTTGTACTTGGATTTTGGTAATACCAAGCGCTATTCAATATATCGAGTTCTTTTTTAAATAAAAAATAATAATAAGTAAAAAATAAGTGCAAAGATTTTATTTAATACCCCCCCCCCCAACACACACACACACACACACACTATATTAACTCAATGTCAACAACTGTGATTCTCTTTCAGAAACATGATGGCCACTTCACAGTCATCCAGCTGGTGGGTATGCTTCGAGGCATTGCATCAGGAATGAAGTATCTCTCTGATATGGGTTATGTTCATCGGGACCTAGCCGCTAGGAATATATTGGTCAACAGCAACTTAGTGTGCAAAGTCTCTGATTTTGGTCTCTCCCGGGTGCTGGAAGATGATCCAGAAGCTGCCTATACAACAACGGTAAGTGTACATGTGCTTTTCTAACGTAGTTCGTTTGCTTTTATTGTTTTTAGTGTCATTAGAGTCATTCTGCTTTTGTTTTTTTCTCTAATTTTCTGCTCCTGTCTGTCATTTTCCCAGTTTAGTTGAAACATCTTTTCTTTACCTGATTTAAAACAAAACCTTCTTATATTTGACTTTTATTTCTTCCATTGTACTGGGACTTTATTTTAACATATTCCTGAGGTCTGTGCCTTCACACAAATCTGCCTTTGCCTGAGATATTTTTGATGCTTCATAAATTACCACCTTTCAATGGAGTTCTGTGCGTTGAAGAATGGTGCAACCAATTAGGTCAGTGATAGTGACGAGGCAATGGTTATGAAATGACTATTTTTTTCCTCACAGCAAATGCTTTGGAATGATCTGATCATACTTAAAAATGAACAAGATAGGTTTCTCTGGAGATATCAAAGTGCACTCTCAACCTTTCCTTGAACAATTCTTGGGGAAAATGTGAACACGAATAAAAGACTAAAACTTTAGAGCCAAGGTGTTGTATGTCAATTATATTATCGTAACTTAACTCAAGAATATATTGTTTAAGCATTTCTGATCACCTCAAAACCATTTCATTCCACTGATCATTGCGGTGATTGTTTTAAGAGTTCAGTCTCAAAATCTCTCTTCCGTTATCTTAAAGCTAACAATTTATAGAATTATGCTCTGTTCTGTTACTTTTTAAACAAAACCCCTACCATTGGCTCATTTGATAGCTTCAACGAGAAATAAGTCAGTAAAATTATTCAAGATGTTTTATTCTCTTCTCTTTTTCTAACCTTACACTTTATTCTAGAAGACACAAATCCATTATTTAGTTCCCTTTTATTTCATTTTCTATGAGATTTTTTTAAATTTCACTGTAAAAAATTACCTCAGATTGGATGCAAGTTTAATATAATGAATGAAAGAGGTTATGCCCTTACTATGTTTGCTTTGTAGAAATGGTCTGTATTAATTTATCAGTGATATTTTCATTAATTTCTCCAACAAAGAAATACAGATCTAAGGAAAATAGATTAATCTCTCAGAGTCTGATGTGTAAGGGAGCAGTATCTATTGATCTTTTAATTTGACCAAAAAAAAAAAAAAACTTCATAAAAATAAGTCTATCAATTGAAAATAAATTATTTATTTAGAAAAAAACAGTCTTTTCAACTCCATTTTCTAATTGGGAATGTCATAATTAATTCTTTTTTTCCAAGAACTTTATTTATTCTCTTTTATGTTTATAACTGTATAACTTGAAGCAACTTTTCAAGTTATAGAACAATTCATACAAGATTTTTCTCTTATGCATATTATTTCCAACATTAGAGAATAGTGTTTAAAGTTATATAATTATTATAAAACATAATATTTTCAAAATTGCAACAAATACTATCTATAAAAGTAATAAAATAAAATAGGAAATAAAAATAAATAGGAAATAATACTAGATTCTTTGACTGTATGCTTATAATATACTTAAAATCCCTTATTAATATTTCAACTGATTTTTAAGAGAAGAAGCTCATAACTAAATATAGGATACTAATAAAATTGGCAGGGTAACCCACATCTTGAAGTATGTATATGTTTTGTATAGTCAGATTTGATATATATATTCTAGGCATATTCTCTGTCTGATATGATTGCAGAGGCCTAGAAGCCTAGACCAGTAAAATCTTAATTTTAATTTGACTACAGAATTAAACATCAAATTAAGTAACCAGTATATTAACACTCTAAAGAATGCTTCTTAAAAGCTATAGAAGATGCCTCAATTAAGAAATGTCCCTGGATTTAACAGGTATCAATTGAACAGCAAATAATGTAATCAAGCACATTTTTTTTAATCTCAGAAACACCTAACTGTTCAGGGGGTCCCGGGGTACAAAATATCATACACTGATTACTCGAAGTTTAATGAACATGGACATTCACTACTTACAATGGCAGAGCTCTACCCTTTGACAGGGTAGAAAGACTGATGCTTCCTTGCTTTAAGTATGTCATAAAGGTCTGAAAAAGAAATATGGAAGTACAAAAAAAGCAGAGGTCTGGAGAAGGCGTCACAAAAAAAGATAAAATTTGAACCATATATTAAAAGATTTAAAAGATTTCATTAGGCAGAGAATTGGGGGAGAGGTCCAGAGAGAGGAAACAGAAAGATAAAAAGATACGCAAATTTGGGGAAGTAAATGGCCACATTGATGAAACCGTGGACAGTTTGGAATGAGGGTGAGGAACAGTAGAGGGGTTGTGAAGGTGGTTGGGTGGTACTTAAAGAAATATGGAGGTTTTTCTATAGCAAGAGATAGACATTGATTGATTTAAATAGGAGAATAACAAAAAGCATGCATGTCTTAGAAGATGTTATTGACAACAGTATGAAAAAGGAAGGGGAAGAGTGATAAGGGGAGGGGATGAAGGACAGGAGGACTGGTAACCAGGAGACCAGTTAAGGCATTGCTGCTACGGCTCAGAAAGGCTATATGGGTTTAAGTCATAGGTACTCTGTCTCTCTCAACTTAATGCCAGATTGAGCATTGGCATTCTGCTGAAATTTTGTGTAAAATTTTCAGGACTTTATATAAATATACTTAGGCTCCAGATACTTTTATTTCCTGTTAAAAAATAAAATGAAATGGTTAGAAAACTGCCTAGTGAAGATATATCTCAATTCAAGCAAATCCTGAATAATAAAATACAAAAGAAGAATGGTCATTTATTTGAAAATGATTCTTTGTTTTATAAAAATATTTATAGCAAGGTTCATTGATATGTTTTTTAAAGTATGACTTCATTTTTTAAAGTTACGTTTCTTAGAACATATCTTTTACCCAAAATTATTTTGATTTTTTTCTCTTGCTGTGTAAGTGTAATTGCTATTTCCTCATTATTTGTAAATGGTTTTATAATCTGTGTTAAGAACGGTTAGGAGGTAAGGGAGGAAAGTGGAGGGTTTTTAAATCAGGAAGACATGGAAAAAGATTTTTTTTAAATCTTCTTTAAGAAAGTAGTAGTAATTCTTAGAACAGTATGCAACATGGACATTTTCCATTAAGATGACTTTACCAATTTAGAGAGCCACTTATCACAGCAAAGAGCCATAAGAACTGATTAAAAGACAGGCTGAAAGTGGTCTCTCCCTCCCAGGAGCTTGCCAGTGCCGCCCCCTCCTCCCACTTCTTTCCCCACAGGTATGCATCTCCTAAACTCTACAGGATTCCATGAGGCTTGCAACCAGGACAGCAATGGATAGCTGCAGTTCACCCTGGGCAAACCTCCTGAACCTGTCCCCAAGGCCCTATTTCTCTGGCTTCTTGATGAGCCAAAGCAGACCAGCCTAGGCTCATTTCCCAGCCCTTTCTTTCTTTCTTTAAAATATATTTTTATTGATTTTAGAGAGGAGGAGAGAGATAGAAACATCAGTGATGAGAAACATTGATTGGCTGCCTCCTGCACACCCCCCTACTGGGGATTAAGCCTGCAACCTGGGCATGTGCCCTTGACCGGAATTGAACCCAGGACCATTCAGTCCGCAAGCCAACACTCTATCCACTGAGCCAAACCAGCTAGGGCTCCCAGCCCTTTCTTCCTTTACATCCCCAGCTTTAATAAACATCCTCTAAATTTAAAAAAATAAAAATAAAAATAAATAAAAGACAGGCTGGAAAGATGGGTGACCAGTGTGAGTCCAGTACTGTTTATTATACTGAACTGGTCAGTCAGCACGTGGCAGATAACCAGAACAGCCTTTGGAGCCAGAGGCTGAAAGAGATGTGACAAGACAGATTACTCTGCTAAACTCTGCTGATATGAGTCCATTCGCACCCTACTTAGAAGACATACATGTAATAAACATGAAGTTATTATTTACATTATAAAATACACTAAAGTAAATAAAAGGATGAGAATTATGAGTACACATAAATAGAATTTCTTCCTACAACTTAAGAGTGTTTTGCATATACTGCTTTCGGTGTGAGACATGCTTTAAGGCCCTATTTCTTGGAGGGTCAATAACAACAACAAAAGGGGGGGGGGATTTCTTTTTTTTTGGAAGAGTTATTTTTAATTAAATTTTTTGGGGTGACATTGGTTAATAAGATGGGTTTCAAGTGTACAATTCTATGATACATCATCTGTATATTTCATTGTGTGCCCACCACCCAAAGTCAAATCTTTCATCACCATACACTGATCCCCTTTACTCTTTACCATCCCCTTCCCTCTTCTCTCTGGTAAATGCCATACTGTTGTTTGTGTCTATGAAAATTTGTCATAAAGGGATTATCGAGAGTGGAAAAATGCCTATACAGAGAGAGGACCAAGAGTAACCAAATACAGTTAAACATAGTAAAACCAATAGATGTGTGAACACCAAAGCAGCATGATGGCTACAGCAGTAGTAGCAGATTTTCCTGGTAAACCCTGTACTAAAATACATTGAGCCTTTGCAAAGGGACCTTAAGAACGGGTAATGACATGAAAACTAAAAAATGTGCACTGTGGGCTAAATATAGAAAAAATTTCACAAAAATAGGATCTAGCTGAGGAGTAGGCCTTGCTTTTACATGCCAATTCTATGCAAGCATACCAGTCACTTAGCGAGGGGAAATTAGTGAATGATTATGAACCACAGCTAATGATACATATACAATAAGCAATACGTGGCTAATTTAATCTGCATGAAATTTGCTGAGTTTGGATTGTTCTCCTCTGATTGTATGGTTTCCTATCTGGTTATAATTTCAATGCTAAGAAATCTCTTCCTTTTCTGAATTTGTCACACTTTTCCATGGACAGCTGCTTTCTATCCTGTTGCAGAGCAGGGACCCTCTCATTGGAATGCCACTAAGTAACCAGACTTAAACATAGTTTGAAATGTAAAGCTTCTTAGCTCACAAGTAGGAAAATGAGGTCTTACTTACCTAAAATATACATTGAAAGATGTGTTATGGCTCACACTTATC